AACCTTTTCGCCCAAGCGTGCAATCTCATAGGACAGTTGAAGATCACCGGGACCAGCGAGATGAAAGGACCCGTGACTATGTTCTGCGGCCTCCTCAGCTCTTTCCTCGTCATCAACATCAACATCATCCTCGAAGATCACCCTTCGCTTCCGATCCTCTCCTACTCGTCCCACTTGGCTGAGAGCATCTGCGGAGGCGACACTTCTTGGTTTGTCGGATTGCTCGTCCTCGTAAGCGATGATGTCGGTGAGGGCAGCTTGGATTGCCTCCATCCTTTCCAGCTGCGTATCTTCGTGGCTGGTTGATTGGTTGTCATCCGGATCGTCAAATAACGGAGCCCTTGAGGTATCTGGAGTTTGGTCGAGGACAGGGGACATCAAGACGTCGAGGGTGGAGAGTGGAGGTTTTGGGGCAGGAGGGGGTTGAGAGCTTGTTGGGTTGGAGGAAAAGGCTGGAACAGGGGCAGATTCTTGACGCAGGATGCTATAAGGTAAACGGCTTGCGGACTCGGGACGTCGGGCCTCGTAATGGGCTGATGTTTCTGAAGGAGTCCTCGACGAGTGTCGCGGTCTGATCTCCTGAGCGAGGGACGATATCTGTTCGCTGCTCTCCATCCGACTTGATTCAATATCCCCCACCACTCTAAACCATAGCTCCGAGCGCTGGAATTCATCAAAGTCCTGTTCCATTTCTCGTTCAACCTGTCGTTGCGCCAACATCACACTTCTACGAGCCTTTCTCTCTGCCGCTGGCGAGGGATTGGACTCGTCGCGAACGAATGAGCGGATAGCGTTGACATGCTTCTGTGAGATGGAAGCCAAAGAGGGCGGTGGAGAAGGTCCTGCAAAGTAGAGGTCGTGGACCATGGATATATCCTCTCTTGCAGTGGCTGATTGAGATATGTCCGGCCCAGGATCGTTCTCGCCATCAGACGATCCAGAGTCGACGGATTCGAGAGGGTTCTTGAAGCTCTCCACAGTCAGCCAGAACTGTACAAGAAGGGGACGGTTCCGACGATCCATAAACTCCATAAAGTACGAGAGGGAACTAGGATTCGTAAGGACATCACGGAGTGTCACGCGAGAGGATGAAGTATTGTCATGGTATGTGGACTGTCTCTGAAAAAAAAACCCCGATTAGTGTCTGAAAGGAATACCCAAGACATGATCCTGGCTTACTGGGTCATCTTCGCCACCAAGAATGACAATCCGTTGCTCCACTTTGCGCTTTGCGGTGTATAATCTGTCCAAGAAGGCTACAACGTCCTCTGTCTTTTCGCCATTGATCCAATCGTCTTTCTCATGGTTGGCTGGGAAAACATGTGTTGGAAGGATTCAGCATGAGACGTGCTAACAGACTCACCCAACAAGGTCCTTGTCCGCCTGATCTCACGAACAATATCGTTCTTAAGTCGTCTTGCATCAAGCAGTGAAGAACAGCGATTGATACTCCGAAGAAATGACTCAAAGTGACGAGTGTCGGTTCGGATATTGATAGTTTCTGAGGGTGACGAGCCTGCGGTGCCAAGCCGTGGGGCAGCTCGTGGGGATTGGGCTTCCAATACATTTCGAACTTTCGACACCAGTCTCCTGTAACACCGTCAATGGATGATCTCACTTTGTACGATACAACTCACTGTTGGCGAATCGCTTCTCCTGCCTAGAGACGCCCTACGCAGTGAGTTTTGAGAGGGGTGGGAGTGCGTTGGCCACTCACGATTTGATCTATGGTCTTGTTCCAAAAATCGGGGTCCGACAACATGTCCATGATGGGATATAGCACCGAGCAAGCTACAATCTCCCTGACCACAATTCTGACAGCCTTGCTCCGACCTTCCTTCTCAGGTAAGATGTAAGGCAGAGCCTTGTCCACGAGATTCCGCAAGTGCATTTCCTCCGATTGCCTCGTAAAAGTGGAAGACAGGTTGTTTACTGCAAGATGCAGCTTGTCTCCCTTTCTTCCAGCGTACCGACCAGCGAGCAATAAATCAAGCTCCTCGGACTGGGTTAAGCGTCGCTCGAGGGTTGCCCCACGTAATGCAACCTCGGATTGTCGATATTGCTCCACATGCGAGGTAATCATGGGCAAGATGCGTTTGACTACAAGTGCGGGCAAGTCAATTGTAGTCGCTTTCCCGAGGAGACGTTCCACAGAAGAATGCAGAGTGGAAGACACGGCGGTCGGAAAAGAAGGGGATGCCGAGATATCTCGATACCAGGTCAACACAAAGTCCCTCACTATCATGATTAAGATATCGTTCAAGGCCGAAGAGACGAGTGGAGAATCAGGGTATAGCGGAGAATGAGATTGTGGAGGTCGATGAGCCCATTGCGAGCGTGTCAAGACTGCCTGCCAAGCTGCGGGAGAGGAAAACGCGAATGGTCGAGCCGTGCGAGAAAGATTGTGCCGCGCTGGAGGCGTTGACTTGTCAAGATAATAGGCAAGGACTACATTCAGAACCAGAACCGAAGTCGCGACGAGGAGTACGATGAATGGGGAGAGGAGAAGCAGGGTAAGTGGAGATGAGACGAGTCGGGCCACGAGTGGAAGAACGAAGGAAGCGACAGCAACGCCGACCACGATCTGCAGGCTCAGTGGTTGCATGATTCAGAACATCACAGCTGCAAAGCGGACGAGGTAAAGACCATGGAGGCGTCCGTCTGAGCTAAACGGATGCAGCAAAGTGCTCACGCGATGAATCCTGACATCCGCGTGACGCGAGCCCCGAAACTCAGCTGTAGTTCAACGTTTCTCGGGTCATCACCACGCTTTGAACTCGATACCCTTCAACGTCTGAGTTCTGCGACGTCGTTACCGGTCCCTGGCCAGATTTCCTCTCTGTTTTTTCCAGCACGCCGCACTCCTCTTCAAGAGTTCTTCGCAGACGACCTACTGGCGGGCTACTACTGCCGTAATATCTTCGATCAATCATGAGCTCTCCTCCAAACAAAGGCAGACCGTTAACGACCACCGAGGGCTTCATATGTGGAGGGTTCGCGGCGTGTATAGCGGTATGTGCGGGGAGATTCGCATCCCTGGCCAGTGTTGACGGGCTGGTCAGGTAACGGTATCAAATCCCGCCGAGGTAGCCAAGACTCGACTCCAGTTACAAGGAGAACTTGCAAAGGGTGGTGTACAAAAGGTGTATAAGAATGTATTCGATGTTGTTTCCAAGACATGGAGACATGAGGGTATCCGAGGTATTCAGAGAGGCCTTCCACCCGCTGTAAGTCATCTGTCGATTTTCTGCAGTTGATGGCACTCCTGACCTGTCTGACTCTGCACAGTACGCGTATCAAGTGAGTTTTTATGTCCTGTTTAGAGGCGGCTCGATACTGAGTTGATCAGATTCTTCTCAACGGATCTCGTCTCGGTGCGTGTAACGCAAAGACGCGTTTAAAGCGATATTCATGTGCTTTCAGGGTTCTACGAACCATTCCGGCGAACACTGAACTCATTCATTGGTCGCTCGCCGACTGACCAACTGCCTGCGACCTCGATCATCGCTGGCGCTGCAAGCGGTGCTGTCGGAGGTGAGTTTCCCCTCTGTATCGAAGGGCTGGTTGACTGATATCTGAACAGCGTCATTTGGAAATCCACTGTTCTTGATCAAGGCGCGAATGCAGGTCAGTTTGGTAGTTTTGGTTAGGGTATCGGACGAGTGCTGATGATCCTGTCCACGCCCTTAGGCATATTCACCAGCCCTGCCAGTCGGGACTCAACATTACTACAAAAGCTCCATAGATGCCCTTTCCACCATCTATCGTGCAGAGGGACCTAGAGGACTGGTTAGAGGGATCGACGCTGCTATTCTACGAACGTCTATGGGATCATCTGTGGGTAATGAACACTGACGTAGTGAACTCGCCTAACCTCTGGTTGTAGGTGCAATTACCCAGTTATAACTTTACCAAGAACCAGATAATCAAGCGAGGACTTTTACCAGCGGATAGTGTTTGGACGTTCTTGGCTAGTAGTTCCGTTTCTGGGTTCTGTGTGGTAAGTGAGGTTTCGTGTTTGTGATGCATGCAATGACTAAACCCGTCCTAGTTAGTTGTGATGCAACCCGCGGATACGGTGGGTGGACTCCCCACGCTCAATGAAGTCCTCACTAATGTTTAGTGTAGGCTTTGACGAGAGTTTATAATCAACCAACGAAGCTGCTACCGGATGGTCGCCAGGTTGGAGCATTGTACAAGAACCCGATCGATTGCTTGTGGAAGACGTTCAAGACGGAGGGTGTCAAGGGATGGTACAAGGGATCGACGGCCCACTTTTTCCGTATTGCACCGCATACGTGAGTACTGCTTACCGGATGGTCCGAAATTGTTCGTTGACTGTTGATTACTTGGACAGCATCATAACCTTGACGGCGAACGATATCATCATCAATCTGTACAAGACGATGAGACATGAGAATTTGTAGTTTTGTGTAGCAAAGTGATCATTGCCTCGTACGCCTTGCGCTGGTTTTGACGGAAGAGGGCAATGATACGGCGCCGGATCATACCCCCTCCTTTCGATAGCCCCTCTGAACCTTTGACACTTCTTTTCTTGACGACTCTCCGACCCGGATGCGTCGCAACGCAGTGAGCGGGTGACTTGTCGGCCATTTTCCCCGTGAAGCCCGCCACGGCAGCTCGGAATGATTGGCATATGAGCAAACAACTGTCCATAAATTGACCGTCCACAATGAGCATTCATGTTGCTCATCCACTAGCCTGCTACCACACGGCACAAGGCTCTTGCTCTGATCGGCAGGGTGGCTCGCTGCCTTTGCCGTCCTCGGCCTTCGAGATACAATTCTGCGCACAGATAAATTCTGCATTCAGTGAATAATGAAAGCATATGACGAGTATGGCGGTGGGTGTGTGATCGGGACTGCTATGGGGAACCAAGACATGGGAGGCAAAACGATGCAAGTGAGGATCGCGGCTGTGAAACTACTCAGAGGGAGGACATTCGACAACAGAAGTAAAACGTCGTCTCCGTCGCCGCCTGAATCCCACCCGGATTGAACGGATGACCTTGTGGACTTCCTCAAGAAGCGTGATAGCTTCGGCTGGAATCACACGCGCTACCACTGCGCCAGGGATTCCACACATGAAATGGAAAAGGAAGCCAGTGGACAGGGGGCTCTTACTTGATGCAACCAGGAACGATGGATTCGGAGCGAACAAACAAGAGTGTTCCTCTAGGCAACAAAAGAACACCTCCTCTTGTCTCGTGGCTATCCGCTATGGTTGTGGCGACAACAACTACTGTGCCTCTTGGGAGCAAAAGTCTTGATCTCGACCCGGATTGAACGGATGACCTTGTGGAAATTCCAAGATCGCTGGAATCACACGCGCTACCACTGCGCCACGAGATCCTTGTGGAAGACTGACCCTTGTAAATATATAAACTGAGTGGAAGTGGATTACGTACTGTTCTTGGGACTGGCTCCAAAGAGCTCCACTTGTTTGGTGTCAACCTGTCAGTTACTGGCTTTGGAGTCACAGCTGTTTGCATGTCGATAGTCCAATTTTTGCCAGCTCCACACAGGAACATCCTTCAGAAGATAGCCTTATTAGGGAATAATGTCAACACTCAGCAAGAGCTCGTCCGACCTGGACTCTGAGACCTTGCAACGAGCAGGTGTTGTCATGTGAGTCCCAGTTCGAGGACGTCCGTGAAATGGAATTTCCGACCCTCCGACCCTCCATCCCTCCATCCCAAACTTCTTTGTGGCTATGCCAGGCCCAGGCTTCGTCTAAATTTAGACCAAACAATTGTGACCTGATGTGACCAAATTTGCCGTGACCCGATTTGTCGGACCGCACGCCTTGCGTGACTGACCGCATGTCCGGATACACGTCTCGTCTGTCTTTGCTCCCACTGACAACAACTCTCTGTATGTCTTCGTCGCCCCACATCCTCAGGCTATCTTTGCCCCCAAGTACACCTACATCCTGTCTGCTGCTCTGGGCTTCCAAG